CTTCATTTATATCCATACTAAAATTCATCACAAACGGTTCAGCGGTTTAGGAATGAAAACTTAACAAACAAACAGACAGTTACTTTCGTATTTATAATATTTATTATTATAATCACTCACTAACAGTCATTATGCTATTAATAATGGTTTTCAAAACAAAACCATCTGTAGTTAGCGGAATTATTGAGTTGAAAATAAATAAATGTTTAATAAAAAAAAAACACTTATATTTTGTTAATCATTAATTTATAATCAACTGAATGCATAATAATTACAAATATGCTACTTTTTAGTTTGGTATTTTATAAGAGTGTTTTTGTAATTTTTTTTAAACATTTAAACATTTTATAATTTATTTTAAAGCCATCCTTGTAGTAAGTGTCTTTGTATGTCTTTATATAAGAACAATATTGTATTATGTATTACAGATGGTGTTATTGGACTGTAGTTGAGATTCATCCATCAGGAGATGACGGCTGATCATCAAGTGTTAGATGAAAACTAACAATGAACACAGCCGGCAGGGCCGTTTTATCCATTAGGCATTATAGGCAACTGCCTAGGGGCCCTGCCACGTTCAGGGGCCCCTGTGCTACAGGGAAAAGAATGGGCAATGTTTCTTAAACAGTAAAAAATTAATTTGAAAATTTGCTCTGTATATTACATCGACGCTATTTTAGTACATTTCGGAACGCATTCCTTATTAGATATTATTATTATGATTATTATTATAGTTTAAAAGTTTATAACGCAGTAATATAATTGCAAGCAATTTTATCGCGGTAATTTAATTAAAAACGCTCAAAACTCTTAGTTGTGAATGCGCACTTACTATACTGGTACCTACCAAGTATGTATATTCTATGGCCAAGCTACTTTCATAAGGTTAAATTCATTGGCTATAATGGCAATTGAAAATGACGTGTTGGAGAAGATTACCTTTCAGGATATCTTGAACGATTTTGTATCAAAAAAAGTTAGAAAAGTTAATATTTAAGCTATGTATGTTTTTTTTAAATGCATAAATAAACATTCTGTTAATTTGATTCAACATTTTTATTGAATAATATGATGATATACCCAGGTTAGTAAAAAACGGTGTAATTTTGAATTTTGTTGTGTTAACGAAAAAATTAGAAGAGGGTAGGGGGCCCTGGATGAGCATTGCCTAGGGGCCCTGACAGGCATAACCCGGCCCTGACAGCCGGCCTAGCAGCACATCTCCAACTTGTCTGCTACTTAGTTATTTTATATTGAATTTAGACTTGTCAAACAATATCTTTAACAGTTACTGTACAAGTTTTTTATATAATTTCTTTTGGATCATAATATTTTATTTAATCCAATCTACTTGATATACTTCTCTGATATGATTCAATTACTTTATTGTTATTTATAATCTGATAAAACATTGCTCATCTTAAATGTTTTATTTCTGTATGTACTAATTATGCTTATCATACTTATTTCTCTAGAATAATTAGGTTTTAAAAGAATAGTATCTGTTATACCATAGAGATGGCTAAAAGTTTTTTTATTATAATAGATTTACCTTGAACTGTTTTCATTTATAATATTTATATAAACCGCATTTATCATAAAGAAAATTATTATTGTTGAATTGAAAGGAATTATAGTTATTGTGGATGTATTGTATTGTCTTTGATTTTTATTAACCAGTAATACTTGTACTTGTTAAGCTTATATATATGAAGATAATAACACTTTGTGACTCCGCATATACATCCTTAGAATGAGTTTGTTATGAACACAAAACATAATATGACATGAGTAAATATAATCTTTAAATTCAAATCTTAAGCTATCAATTAAATACTATTGTGTGTGTTCATGATGTGACTCATATGATGTATTGTTCTGTGACTTATCTTTCATACTATTAATATTTGTATACATACAAACGTAGAAAATGTCGGATTGTTTAGAAAATTTATTAAATGTATTTTATTTAATACATTATTATGGTTGTAGAACTGAAACATGTAAATAACAAGAATAGTGTTACAAGTGGCGTCATCTGTGCCATACTAATTGTATTTTACTATAATTCTTAGAATTAATTTTGACTGATTATAAATAATAATAAATTAATGTATGTACCTGGAGATATTGCCGTGATGAAATTGTTCATACCTGATACTTAATTTATGTTAGGTATATAGCAGTTATATACATAAATATTTGTTATATATTGTGAGCAATATTTGTAATTATTTATTATTTACTATAAAACCCCCTTAATCTAATTTGTTGATGACAAGGTTTGAGTATCAGCTTGTACATATTTGTGATATAAATACTGGCTTCAGCCATTTTGTACGACATTACTAGAAGTAACAAGGAACATTAAAAATCAAGACTGAAACTGTACCTAAAAAGTAGTATTTTTTACTGTTTTCTTATTCTAATTTACATATTGTATGTTGATACTTTTCTGAAACATTTGTACAGACAGGATCAACTGAGGGACAACAAGCAAATAAGTACAAGATGAGTTTTCTTCATTATTTATACATTTGTTGGAACGAAATATTTTTCTTTTTGTCAATATTGTTTTGGATGAAGGTTTATTAAGTAATTTTTTTCTTTATCTCAGTATCATTGCATTTGTACTATTTAAAATAATACTTTTTTTATGAGAATAGTTGTAACCTAGAGTAGTCACCATCTCCCATGGACAGTGTTAACGCTCTTGATTGGGGAAGAGGATAGGAAGGGGAGGCAAAAGGGAAAGGCCAGCAAAGTGTGGGAACAGGGAAAGGACAGCCGGCTCTCTCACTCATAGGACGAAACGTAGACATTAAAGAGTACTTCACGTCGATCTTGGTACTTCCCCGGTCGAGCCAGCACATGTTCGAGCTGTAGCAACTGACCACAGCTAGACTCTAATAGACTATAGATGAGGGATTTAATTATAAGGATTTAAAAAAATCCGAGACTACTGGATAAATTTAAATTAAATTGTATACAATAAAACACTAAGCCTGTAACTTACAATCAAAATGTTATTTAATTTAAGATCTATTCCTGCAAATTAAGAACAAAATTTGCATTGTTTAGTCTTTTATCCAAGTAAGGAGCCAGGTGAGAAACAAACTCAAAGGCTACCAATAAATCCATAGATATAAAAAATACATGAACAATCAAAGTGCCAATAAAATACATAATATTTTCTATTACTCTTAAAAGTTCAAAACAATGTTTACTGAATCATAACAAGAAATTGAAAATACGGTACCGACTTGCTTGTTTTATATACCGCCATCTTTTGGTTCTTATTTAAAACTCGACAATAATTTGACACAATCTACACTTTACATTTTTGAAAATTGTAAGATTTTGGATACTGTGCTGTATATGAATGTTAAATATAAAACTCTACTTAGGTACGAGGAAGTATGAAGCTCCTTAAACTGAAACCACGTTAATAATACGTGAGTCAAGGGAGAATACAAATATTTTTATTATTAAAACACACTACACATCTAGCCCTATTCGCGGACGACACCGCGGTGTGTTCTTCAAGCGGGTCCTACTACATGGCCTCTCAACTTCAAACTGCGGCCAAAACCTTAGTAATTAACCTTAATAGTTCTGCTGATGGAAGATAGACGAGTATCCCATCGTGAGTCTTGGTCACGGTTATAACAATGTTGATGAAATTAAGTATGCTGAGGGTTTTGTGTGTCATTTATAAACATACTTTGGGGTTGATTTGTAGTAACACAATATGTTTATATCTTCTGCAGTAGTCAATGAACAGTTCTAAAGTATATTAGAATACCAAGAAATTTGTCAATAGATAGCGGTGTAACCAATCACTTAGGCAATGGATGTTTAGTTCTGTTTAAATGAAACAAAGACTTGGATTTACAACATATGTATTTATTATATTTTACATATTACCAGATGTTTTGGTGACTCTTTACTAACAACAGTGTTCAGGACACTCGAGATTAAAGTGCCTGCATTTAGTCTTGTTATTACATTATTTCAGTTATGAAAATGGAGTAGTTTTCCTTGTACAGTCTTTATTTATCTACGAGTTTACCTTAATACATATATCTTAGATAAAGAACGTTGAACGAGAAATGACAATTATGATATATTTCTGTAAACATACATTTATTTCAAACGTCTATTCATCTATGCTATCCACATTTATTATGTTATTTATTGCTGACATTAAGAGTTAAGCTTAAGATTAATCATATTACATCTTTTAATTTAAATTTACATATATATATTATATTACATAAAACGGATGGCTGTTACTGAATACTTTGAAGTGAAGGGGTTTTTTATTTGGTCGGTGCATACGATGTCCACTCTAAAATCGGCAAACTTTGTGACTTAAGGTCCTCTTTAATAATATCTACGGGAATCTAATATCTAAGGGAGAACCTTGATGACAATTGTTAATTGAAAGCGGGTAGTCAGTTTGGTCTAACCAAAGGAGACATTACCAAATATTATAATCATATCGACCGAATAAAAAAAAAATTGGACAAAAAAGATTTTTAATTTAGCATCCGTTTGCCAATAATTCGGTTTAAGAATAGAGCCACCACGGAACCGCTGCATCCCGGGGAAATGCTACCGGTGTCAACTATACGGATATTCGCAGAGGTTCTGCTACGCACTCCCGCGCTGCGTAAAGTGCCTTGGCGACCACTGCGAGCGTTGTGATTGGCCGAACGGCGGCTCGCGACAAATAATGCGACGTGCGAGCGCTACGCCGTTATAAAAGACGGGCAAGCAGCAACCGAATAGGGAAACAAATAGTTTAAGATGCCAACGCATTTAACTACGAAGTCGACGGACCCAGTGAGCCAACTAGGCTAGACCCTGTGGAGTCACATTCGGATAATGTGCTGGACGTCATCATCGACAAAGGACTGAAGGCACCGCCAACGCAGGAAGTCCTCTTTGATCTTCCATCAGACCATCGACCAGTGCTGCTGGTATTCAAAGAACCCATGGAAATCAAACCACCCCGAACTCCACTGAGAACCAATTGGTCCGAATACACGGAGAGGCTTGAGCACTACTGCCGACCAGCCATTATCCGCACACCCGAAGTGGTCGACTCAACCGCCAAGGAACTTACCAAATCTATCCAGCTTGCGCTTCGGGACTCCTCAAGCTCCAAGCCAGCCACCGAGCGGAGGGACCCTTTACCCCCACTGCTCCGGAAGCTGCTCGAGGAGAAGCGACAGGCCAAGAAAACTTGGATGAAGACGCGCCATCCACGGGATAAAACACGTCTTAACTCCCTCACCAACGAGCTTAAGACCGCCCTGTGGGAACACAGGGGAGACGAGTGGGAAAATCCCCTGATTAACGCTGAAGATGACCAACCATCTCTAACAAGACTGTGCAGGCAGCTATCATCAGAAGTCACTCCCATGCGTCCCCTGTTTGATCGGGATGGCCTGCTCCGCTACAAGGCCGAGGATAGAGCCGAAACTGCTGTTCGAGGCCGCACGCGATAATCCCTCGCGCCGCCGCGAGGTAGAGGACTCAGTCCGAAACTACCTCGCCACACCCCTCTCCCAAATCGATGATGGACTGCTGGTGACACCGAGCGAGGTTGCAGCGGTAATCAGGCGCACCAAAGCTAAAAAGGCCTCCGGTGAAGACGGGATTCCCAACGCAACTCTTCAAAGGCTCCTCCGGAAGGCGCCAATCACGGCAACGCAACTCTTCAACGGCATCCTGAGGACCGGCCACTTCCCTACCATCTGGAAGCGAGGCCGGGTTATAGTAATACCCAAACCCGGCAAGGACCTCAAGAAACCTGAGAGTTATCGGCCGATCACACTCCTTCCAACGCTGTCCAAGGTGTTCGAACGGCTGCTGCTGGTGAGAATCAATCCTCTCCTGACGTTGAGGCCGGAACAATTTGGCTTCCGCCAGGACCACTCCACCACGCTGCAGCTGACCAGAGTACTGAACGAGATGGCCACGTGGATGAATAAATGCGGCGGCACAGTGACCGTGATGCTAGACATGGAGAAGGCATTTGATAGGGTGTGGCACGATGGTCTTATTTACAAGCTATCGTTGTCCGCCCTACCAGGGCCTATCGTCACGGTCATCGCATCATTCCTGCGTCAACGCTCCTTCCACGTGACAACTGGAAGCGCCACGTCGACGCAGAAGCAAATCCAGGCCGGAGTCCCACAAGGGAGCTGTCTCTCACCGGCCCTCTACGCCCATTACACTGACGACATCCCCGTCACAAGCGGCACCCAACTGGCCCTGTTTGCAAACGATGCTGCATACCTGTCCAGCTCTACCAGCGCCAGACACGCTGCACTTAAGATGAGCCGGAACCTCGAAGCGCTTCCTAGCTGGCTTATGAGATGGCGACTTAAGTGTAACGTGTCAAAGACCCAGGCGCTCATCACTGGACGAGTCCACCCACCGCCGAGCCTGCAACTAATGGGAAAGGAAATCCCATGGTCGTCGACGGTCACGTACCTGGGGGTCACCATCGACAGGTCCCTTACGATGGTACACCATGTGGGAACGGCCGTAGCGAAGGCCCACCCAGAACCACCCTTCCCCACCCAGACACGACATTGCTGCGCAGGAGGCGACTTAAACGCCCCGCGCGGGAGTTGATTCCATCTCCCTTGAGCGGGGCCACAGAATCGCCAGCCCCAATGGCAGCAGACCAGGACCAACCACCGTCCTCTCGTAGACGCTTAGAGGGGTCCTACCCCGCGGGCCATCTCGAGGGCGGTCACCAGCCAATGACCGACCCATAGTAATGCGTCGCGGGGATAATCTCCAAAAGGAGCACAGCTCCGATGGACACTCCACTGTCCCAGTCAGGGGAAATGGAAAGAACACCAACGAACAGACAGATCCCCACCCTGTCCTTCGTCTGGAACAGTCGCTTTTCTCAAAGCGACTCCCAGTCGGAATCCTTTATGTCACTACGAATATTCCGAATATCGGAAATATTCGACCGGAGCTCGATGCTTCGTCACGGCCTTCGTTCCGACACTTAAAATTGTTTTTGTTTAAGGTGTTTTATTGTGTAGTGCTGAGTGATTTATATTACAGTGCTGTGTCATTATAGTGCAGTTAAATGCGTGAACACAGTGCAGTCTACGACAGGTGAGGCGGGGGTGGGGGCGTTAGACGCGATGGGCCGAGAACGCTTAGCGATAGGCGAAGCGGTGGGGGGGAAGACACGCTGTTACCTGCGGGGGAAGTGGGGGGCCTAACGGTTTTAACGGTCGCGGCCGTTAGGGGGTGGGAGAGCGGGGGGACGCTGCGCGTGGGGACCCTTCGGTTGCGTCACCTGGCGCTATGAGTGAAGCTTTCGCTCGCTTCTTTCTGGATACGAGAGGTTGGAAGCCTGCCGCATCCTCCTCCGAGTCAGAGCCGCGAGACTCGAACTCAGAGCCTGAGAAGGATTCCTCCGAGGAGGCGAACTCGCACTCCATGTCGGAGGCGTCGTTCGAGGGGCGGATCCAAGCCAGGGTCTTCGAGGCAAAGTTTAGAAGGGCCTCAGGGTAATCCTGCTTGAGGTACTCAAGCAGCTCGGCCATCTTGATGCTATTTGGGTCCATTTTGACCCGATAAGGTTAAACACGTTAGCGTATATGAAAATCCTGCGAATTCGCACTCCATGTCGGAGGCGTCATTGGTCGCTCGGATACCGACTAAGGACTTGGAGGCGAAGTTAAGCAGAGCCCCCAGGTAGTCCTGCTTGAGATATTCAAGCAGATCGGGTAACTTGATTTTCTTGGGGTCCATTTTAGACCACTGTTTGGGTGACCACGCGACGATACTGTCCGCGTAAGACCCCCCATGGAGGACATCCCGCAGAGCTGCGTCCTGTGCCAGCAGACGGGCGACCCAATAAGGTTAAAACTTGCACCAACAACAAGATGGGCCGGCTCAACGAGACCACTACCGACCAAGCTTCTTCTCTAATTAAGGGACTGAACGTAAAGAAGTCAGTCAATAATGACGACAATATTTAAGTCGCGGTAAACGGTTGGCCGATGGAGGTTAGATATTATAAAACACGAACAGAACACCTCAGTCATCTACACTACAAACATCCGTTTTAGAATTAGCCTTCATTAAATATTTTAATATTGTTATCAGTCTTAACACGTGGCGTCCTATACAAAGACTCGTTTGAATATCATTTAATTTACTTGTTTTACAATTATCTTTATATTTTAACACAAACATGTAAAGAGATATAAGATTTTCGCGAGTCTTATTCATTTAAATAAACATGTATCTCATGATCAATGGACAGACCATGTAGTGAAAACATACGACGGTAGTGAAACTATGAGTACTTTGATTGAGGAAGATGTTTCTGTAGGAGAGCTCTATACAAATGTATGGACAACAAACATGTATACTTTGAACACTTCATTAAGTGGCCTGGTTTTAAACAATCAGTAAGTAAAGCAGTCTATCTTATCCACCACTTTTATATCTCTCGTCGTTACTAACTTCTATTCTGCATACTTCAATGAACTGATACGACTTGGTAATGTTAACGGTAGTTAGACATTAATAACAACTCAAGATGTGCAAATATAAAATACATAGTTTTAAATAAATTAAAATTAATTATCTTTCTATGTATACGTACATTCCAGGAGGTTCTTTGATATCAATAGACACATCAAACACGTACTGTACATGTTTATAGTGAACACACTCCTTATATTGTCTGGAGACTGCTACAGTTGATACTTCAAGTCTTCTCTATTCTAATATGTTACACTAAACGAGTCATTCTCCTCTTCATATAATTCTATGTTTCATCAATACTTGGTTCATTGTTAGTTTTCATCTAACACTTGATGATCAGCCGTCATCTCCTGATGGATGAATCTCAAGTACAATCCAATAACACCATCTGTAATATATAATACAATATTGTTCTTATATAAAGACATACAAAGACACTTACTTCAATTATTGTCGGTTTAAAATAAATTATTAAATGTTTAAAAAAAATTATAAAAACACTTTCTTATAAAAAGTAGCATATTTGTAATTATTATGCATCAATTGAATATAAATAAATGATTAACAAAATACAAGTGTTTTTATTATATTAATCATTTATTTATTTTCAACTCATTAATTCTGATAACTACAGATGGTTTTGTTTTGTAAACCATTATTAATAGCATAATGACTGTTAGTGAGTATAATGATTATCAAATCCCTACATACTAATATTATAAATACGAATGTAACTGTCTGTTTGTTTGTTAAGTTTTCATTCTTAAACCGCTGAACCGTTTGTGATGAATTTTAGTATGTATATAAATGAAGCCCAGGAAAAGGACTTGGTCTTCTTTTTATCCCGATTATCCGTTGACACAATCCCGACCCCAATCCCAATACTACGCAGGTGGAACTATGAAGTGGAAGCAGTTCAGGTTCAGTGGCACTAGTGATAGAGAACTATGATGTACACGCGGACGGAGCCGAGGGCAAGAGACAGTTACTATTATAATAACTATTGTTTATTTCAAAATTCAAGTGAAGCTAAGAAACAACCGTTAGAAATATTTTTAATAAATCAAAAAGCTGTAATGTGTATACTTGTTTAAAATAGTCAAATAGCAATATGAAGTAACTTAAAATATTTAATATTTTAAATTATGTTACATTTTACATCTCCATTAATATATTTTATCTAAATAAATCTTTTAATAATTGATTTACTATCTTTCATTTATTTATTTAATCAATTCGACTTGTCGGAAGCATTCAGTTAATGTAATAAAAATATTGAATAAATGAACATAAACAACAGTTCACCCTTACTATAAATAATAACAGAAAAATATTAAATATTCAACAGTACATACCGTCACACTACTATCGTACATCAGCTACATACACTTCTCTTCATAGAAGGTTTCCTCTCGTCCGCAGACCACGTCCTAACAGACGCTCCACCAACAGCTTCGACCCTCATCTTGAATTATATATTCTTACGAGTCCTGGAACGTTACAAATAATACTATTTTATATAAAGACAATACATTTCTTAACAAACTTATCTACTTACAAGAAGTCGCATTTTAGGGCGTGGCCGAATAAAAATAAAGGAAGCCATCAAAACGATAACGTTAAAAATCCCTGCGCCCAATGTATGTAACGCTTAGGAAATAAATCAAAATTCCTACCACATACTACACAATAAAATAAACATTAATATCAAACAAAACTAAAATTGTTACTCAATAGGTATTCTTATAGTTTTAAGTTCTTATTTATAATGTAAGTAATGCCAATAATATAAAATATAATAATTAGATATGTAAAGAAACACTCACCATGAAGCATCAGCATTAGAAAAAGACATCCATCATGAGGAAGACCGCGACCTACTGGCAGGAGACGAGGGAACGAAATGAAAGTTCAGTAGTAGACTTATTAGATTTAAAAACTAACAAGGAGCAGTCAGGTTGGCCACACTAATAATATAAGGACAGTAACACACGATAGGAACACAAAATAACTTGACTAATAATGTTTAACTATAACGCGAAACATATTATATATATATTAGTATAACAAAATGACTATAACATAAGTACTCATTCTGCTTCATTTGCTTTTCAAATACATATAATATGAACCAAATTAAAATTGAAAATAAGAATATATTATAATATATTTACCCATTTCTTTGATATAAATACTTTTAAATATAACAAAAAAGCATTTTTATTATTAGAAACAGCAATATAGTAGCATATAGGAACTTTTCAATATTACTTAAATGTCCATAAATTAATGAAATGCATACCAGCCTTAAAACGACGTCCTAGATCATGAAGGTTGGCAGAAAGTGACTGCTGTGTATTTTTGTTGCAATTCGAAATAAGTTTTAATAAGAAACATTCTTTCTTTAACAAATTTGTAGTTGCGGGCTCATTATAGTTAATTTATATTAATTTAAATATTAATGGATAGAAAACAGATTATGCACAAGTATTTTTAGGTTGATGTAGGTGGTTGGGTATTAATAATGGATTGTTTTGATTACATCCAGATTTTTTTTCCTTAGTAAAAATTTTAGTTAAAAATCGAGTACACTACTTATTTATTCAAAACTAGTTTTTGCTCGCGACTTCGTCTGCGTTAATTTCGGGATCAGTAATATATTACAATGATATACAAAAAGGTAGATATCGCACTAGCGCGTGAAAACTGACACGGCCAAATTAAGGCAATTGTCGTAATTTGAATTAGTCGCATATTAGCAGCGAGTGAGCGACCACGTGTGGGTTGTGTGACATTATTCGTTCATTATGCCAAGCTGGGTAAACCGAAAATGCAAAAATAATGGTACAAAAATTAAAAAGGATGAAGGAGTTACGTACCACACGGAAGTACATGAAGACATCTAATAATTTACATTTTATTTAAAAATTACATTAAATGGCGACAAATTATTAAATGTTTTGAGTTGGTTTAAAAAATAAGGATAGATAACATACGCCGAGCCGCGAGCGTGCGTCATAGAGTAAGCAATCAGAACGATTCAACTAATCACGTTTCACTTTTATTTATTTATTTTTAACATGAAGTTATTTTAAAATAAGTAGGTGTTAATATTACGTTTTGCAGATTCCCTAGTGAAGAACTCATAAGGTATAAATAATAAATGGGTCAGCAAAGTATGTGAAGAAAGAGGTGAGCGTGATTGGATGCCTACAAAAAGTAGCACTGTATTATGTTCTGCTCATTTTGAAGACCTAGACAAATATACTACGCCAAAAGGATACGTGCGTCTCAAAACATCTGCGGTGCCTGTGGTTTCATGGGTGAGTAGAATTTAAAACATTCGTTTCGTGTAACAATCGTGTATTATATATATAAGGATTATAACAAATGTTTAACACACTTGTAGTTGAGAAATTAAATTAATCTTTACTAATATATTTTTTTTTTGATGACGTAGTGGAAACTCTTTTTACGAGCCGTCCAACCGGCCTTGGTGGGGCCGGAAGGGATGTGTGAGGCTCGGCCTGGGCAGGCCCCTACTCACTAAAACCACTGCGAAAGCCATCGGCCGCTATGTCGGTGTACCCCGGATCTGTCAGCGACAGGGCACACCAGCGACTGGCCGGTCCTGGCAAAGACCGGACTTACTCCCTCGGAGCATGGGGGCGATCCCGGCAATTAGGACCACCCCGACGACGCTGGGCTTTCAAAAGGGCCGGGTTACCACGCCGACCCCAGCCCGGAACACAGGGGTGCTATTGGAGGCGTAGGAATTGCCTCCGTCGCACCCCCGTACGTCGCCTGCGGGGGGAGGGAGCATCAGCCGCCCTCTCCCTTTCCCGCTGAGATGCCTCCTTCGTGGACATGACCGTCTCACAGAAGGAGGACACCGCCAACCAGGACCCATCACTCTCGAGCATCTTCTCCACGACACTCGAAAGCGACAGGTCCACTCCACCGAGAGCCGCCACAAGGTCAATCTTTACTAATAATACGAAGCAGAAGAGTTTGTTTGTTTGAGCGCGCTAATCTCTGGATTTACTGGTCCGATTTGAAAAATCCTTTTTGAGTTGGACAGTACATTTACTGAGTAAGGCTATAGACTAAAAAGTTACGCGCGTAAAACCGCGGAGTGAGTTACAATATAAATTTACCACACATTAAAACTTAAATTTAAACTTTCCTGTGACTATTGATAGAATCTTTTATTGCAGGATATGGTTCCACGAGCTTGTACACCTACCAGTCTTAATGATGTAAATATATCGGACATGGACTCTGTATTCGATTCACCAAGGAAAACGACGCTGAAAAAACGAGCTCAAAAACTGACTCTTCAAAAGACGGAACTATAAAGGAAAAATAAAGTTATAAAAAACGAAAATAAAAGACTAAACAAGAAAATTACTAGTATGACGAATATTGTAAAGGTTTAAAAAAAATTACTTTGTGTCAGAACAACACTTTTTGAATCTCGACTTAAAAGATTGTAAATCAAGTATTCTTTATAAAACAATCAATTTTCAGTTTTGACTTAAATACGATTTTATTATATATATGTATAGAATAATAAATAATAATCATCAAACAAACAATTTGTTTCATTAAATGCCCCTTCTATCTGAATATTTCTCTTGTTCTATGTAGTGCTAGCGAACTTCAAGCGCAACTCGAAACATAATATAGCTATCGTTTTCTATATCATTCCCTATTTATTTATTTTGGCGTAATCTATAAGGAAACGCCACTAACTAAAGAAGAAAAACATAAGTTAAGTGATAGCATCAACTCAGAATATACTGTGCACGTCTGAGCACGGATGAAGGGTATATTTTAAATAACCAAGCAACAGAATCCTTAAAGTTAGTTTGTATTTAAATTCAATTTAATTTATTTAAAATTATGTTAGTTTTCTTTTTGTATAATATTAAGTGATCAAACGGATGGACGATGTTTTTATGGTCTCATTTATACCCTTCTTACTGAATTAGTATTTCTACTAGATTATAAAGAATAAACAATTTCAGGAATCTAATACAAAACTAGATACTTAGTGCATTACGGTTAATTGACTTGTTATAAAATTTTGAAAATTTTATCTTATATAAATAAATAATTAATTAATAAAAATCTTGATGTAAAAACGAAAACCCATTTTTTTTTCATGGAACTAGTAATATTCTTCATGAGTAATCAAAACAATTTTAATGTTTAAAATACTCGCCTGCATCAACTTAGTAATATTTTTTATTTAATTTCTGTGTAACATACATTCCATACATTCTTAGTGTGTCCAACCTGTCACCCGTTCGTTAGTTATTTGTTAGTATTTAAACCTAACTAGTTTATTATTGTTGAGGGCGCAGTGTTTCATTAATATTTTCGTTTCAATTGCTTCTCCTATTTGTATTTAGTTTTTCACTTTTCCCTTTATAATGTGAGTGTGGTCGAGGTTTTCCTGAACCCTGTCTCCTAACATTACTGACGGAGCGAGGCAGTTGAAATGATATTTGTTTTATGTTGTTTGTTAAATTGTGTTCTTATGTTACAATATTAATATTGAATGTGGAAATTGCTTTAAAATCTTTCATTACTTTACATTCATAATATCTGGTTACCGAGCTTTGTTCGGTATTTAGGAATAATTATTTTTTATTTTGTGATTCTTTTTTATTTCGTTTAGGCATTTTTAAGTGAACACGTTAAGTAGACGAAAAACAATATAAGGGTGAATATATTATTTGGTTTTTTCGTGTCCCAGAAGAATATGTTATCGGTTCCATTCAATATTTATAATTTATTTATTTGACACTATTTTAAAATTAGTAATCACAGGGGCCAGACGATTATTAATTTTTTTCAGTTTTCAAGTCAGACTCGATATTTTATATTAATAAAAAATTTTTTCTCTTAATTTTGTTACAATATGTTTCGATGTTTATTGAAATTTAAAGCATATGACCACATTAAATAAAAAACATAATTGCATACTCTTTAAAAGTATTCAGCCATAAGTTCATTTTAATTTATTTATATACTCTTTATTGCACACCAATATAGACAAAAATAATAGGAGTAAAATAAAGACAAGAAAAATGTACAATAGATGGCCATATCGCTAAAACAACGATCTTCATTTTATTTTAATTCATAAATTTCTTAGTCTAACCTGAAAACAAACACTCATTGGCTTCCTCGTACTTAACAGCGCCATCTTCTGTTCTGTTGTTAAAGCAATTAGTAAAAGTAATTAGCTCAAAGTAGTATTACTATTCACCGATAGATGTCAGGAAATGTCATATCTTAAACGACTCCTTTTTGTATTTTTTTAAATAAAATAACAGAAATAAAATAACATTTTCTAAAATTGATTCCTAGCTAGATCGATTTATCGCCCCCGAAATACCTAACATACAAAATTTCATGAAAATCCAATAAATATATGTATATATGTATATGAATTACTCATTTAAAGATATAAAATAAAGATAAAACTGGTAAGACGTACAATTACACTGAAAATAAAGATTCTTAACAGTATCTTAGTTTTATTTACGTACGTGATGTTTATACATAACTTTATAAATTTTGTATCTAATTATAAAACATTATCTCAATACTTCTAATTTTTTGTGAACATTTTATGCGAAACCGTATTTTATTCTATGTTGTTCTAGCTACAGTTTGACTTCAGTTTAAGGCCCTATTCAGTGTTACTTCCAGTTGAGTCCTACGAAATAGCTGAAGCCTGTATTTTTAGTTTTCAAATACAAGTTTTCAGGTATTTAAATGATGTTATTACAAAATTACAAAGGTTCAATATTATAATTCAGTAGAATCAGTCATAAAAATAACTCTAAGGATTAAAATATATCATTGGTTCGGCAAAGATGGCGCCACGAAAGGACCATAAACAGAAATTAATAATAATCCACAGTAATCGGTCGGACTGTGTAACTTAGTAGTTGTTGAATGAATGTGTTTGTTTATTAAGTCAATATAAAAGCCTGTGTATGTGATATAATATAAAAGAACAATTTATTTTATCTCAGAAATTTTTTGTATTAAATATTTTCATACATTGTGAATCTATTATTCAGATCTTACAGTTTTCATATAATATAGTATGAAGAGGTTCGGTTGCTATTTATCAATAAAGCTGAGAGATGGAAGACAGAATACATAATTACTGAACAATAGATGGCGCTGTTAATTATTAATGATTTATGGACACAACCACACCGAAGCTACCTCACTAAAGATGCTACTCGTGTTAATAAGAAATAAAACAATAATATTACTCAACATTATTCAATAAAATAATAAACAGCGGTGCATTGACACTAGATATTATAAGAGATATTGTAACTGAAGTGTGTTAAAACTATTTTCTAAAAATTGAACAACTAATCTAACCTTATAACAGTAATATTATTATACCATAGACCAACTAATAAGTTATAACAAAAAATAATTATTTCTGTCTTTATTGATAAAATAATAAAACGAACATTAGAATCTCAATAACTTTATATAAGTTTATTGTTAGTTATAATCCAGTACATATATCTTAATACAAATAAGAAATATAATTTGATTTATATAAAAATTGTTTTTGTATCATGTTACGTTGGTGATTTCCCTCATTATTCGGTTTAAATACAATATTTGTTCCTATTACATATTAACTAATAATCATCTCTAAGTATCAATGTGAGTGCTGCAGTAGTCTCTAGAGCTGTCTGTATTATACATATATGTAGTATATAGTTGTAGTTGACCCGGGCAAGTACCAATGTGATTTTTCCGAATCATATGTACTTTCTAATAGTATTTAGACATCACTGATTAATGTTGATTCCCAAAAGAGGGTTGATGTCAGGCAGGCGGCCGGTCGTAAAAACAATTAGCCAAAAACTATTCACAACATGTAAGGCAGACCCTGGCTGTAGCTGGGAAATTGCCAGGTAGAAGAAGAAGAAGATGTAGTATATAGTTGATGGACCATATCTGTCACTTGATACAGTGACGTTCCTTTACTGGAGTTAACATATTACTTGTTAGTTGGCCACTTGACTAGTACTTGTCGCAGAAACTTTAAATACAGTTTGTTCTAAACTTTGTTTTCAAAATCATACAAAAAGGTTGTACCATTAAATATACAGGGTGACTGGTGAATTACTATCGATATTTGAGGACGTGATATTTGACGATCATATATGACAAAATAAAAATTAATATAACATAAATATTAATAATCTTCTTAGTAAAGTTAACCAAAAGTTGTGTAATTAATTACGCATCGTATGAACACCCTACAGATTAGGTATACACACACACTCACACAGACGCGGCGGCGGCGTAGTGTTGTATCAGCACGCCGCCGCACGCGTCCACACTTGGAACACTTGGAAAGTGTACACTATTTATTTATACGGAAATTTGGTCAAAAATTAAGTACCTATTTTTTTTTTACATAATTCGAATGGGAATCATGTACCGAGTATGCTCCTTAAATATTGATAGTAATTCACCAGTCACCCTGTATAGATATTACACTTATCTATCATAATTGTTAAACTAAAATAGAGTTAAAATATTTTCACATACATATTTTGAAAATAAAAAATAAGACAAGTAGTAAATAAAAAGTTTCCAACTTAACTTGTAGATCAAAGTTACTTTTAATAAACAGAAATATGTACATAAATATCATAGGAACGACATACTTTACAAACAAATTTAACAAAATAAGTGCAAAGAATAGTGTAAAAAAATTAATATGAACAATTGTAAAATAAAATCATGTACATACTTATAACAGTTATTAAATAATATTAACAGTGGAAATACTTAAAGGACTCTGAAAAGAAAGTATAATATACATATTCTTTAAAACAAGAACAGAATTGGATTTAGTAAAAATAATATTCAATACAACTGCACTATTGGCAGAGAGGACATGAAATTCTCTTCGTTAGTAGTAGAAGTATTCAGTTCTGTATGTGTTGTCATCCCAGAAGGGCCTGCTTGTGGCTCATTGTGTTCCATAGGCTGGTCAACACCAGGAGGCAGGTTGGAGTCATGAGATAAGTCTCATCATCATGAGATATCTTCATTGGCTGCGTCTGAAATTGAGAAATATAACGGCAGAAATCTTTTCGATTTTTGATTTCACTCAGTTAAATAGACATAGCCCTCACAAAGTGGTTGTAAAGCATCCCAATATCCCGAGCCCAGGGTCTCTTCTGGGACAACCGATCCAACGCACTCCAAGACAAAGTTATCCCAGACCCAGAGACCTCAACCTCTAATATAGAGTGTCTGATTCACTCCAAGACAAACACTCACATGA